TCCGCGCTGCTCAGCTGGGCTGCCGTGTGGTAGCAAGTGGCGCAAGCAGCTTTTTGGATTCCGCGGTCCTCTGAGTGAGAGGCAGGAGGGGGAGAAGAAGAGAAAGAGAGAGACAGAGAGAGAGGCAGGAGGCAGAGGAGAACTGGGGGGGAGGGAGAGGCAGTAGGAAAAGAGAGAGACAGAGCGAGAGAGCTCAGGAGAAGAAGACCTGAAAATCCTTTCTTATGACGGGCTAATTGGCTAGTATCAGTATATATTAGGTGAAAAGAGAAATGCAACATTTACCATGTAAACCATGGCTTGTGTTAGCTTTGTGCTCTTAAATTTTCTTTTGGTACAACCTATATTTATAGGTGTGAAAGAGAGCTGGAGAGAGCATTTTACAGTTCTTACTTTCAAACTGTACTGTGTATTTTTGTTAAAATGGTGTACTGATAAATACACCTGAGCTGAGACTTACTATATTCAGTCCTTGATCCTCACCATAGAGCTCCACTGTGCCAATAGGCTGCTATTGGCCTGGTAGTTCTTTAGTTTGGTGTTAATAAGGGATCACATACATTTTCTTCCAGAGTTATTAGAGAATATAGAAAACCGTATCTAGATCTCCTTTTATTTCATAGAATCATAGAACTGGAAGAGACCTCAGAAGGTCATCAAGTCCAGCCCCCCGCTCTAGGCAGGACCAATTCCAACTAAATCAACCCAGCCAGGGCTTTGTCAAGCCGAGACTTAAACACCTCTAGGGATGGAGACTCCACTACTTCCCTAGGTAACCCATTCCAGTACTTTACCACCCTCCTAGTGAAATAGTTTTTCCTAATATCCAACCTGGCCCCCCCCCACCACAACTTGAAACCATTGTTCTTTGTTCTGCCATCTGGCACTACTGAGAACAGCCTTTCTCCATCCTCTTTGGAACCTCCCTTCAGGAAGTTGAAGGCTGCTATCAAATCCCCCCTCACTCTTTTCTTCTGCAGACTAAACAGAGCCAATCCCTCAGCCTCTCCTCATAAGTCGTATGCTCCAGCCCCCTAATCATTTTGGTTGCCCTCCGCTGGACCCTCTCCAATGCATCCACATCCTTTTTGTAGTGGGGGGCCCAGAACTGGACACAATACTCCAGATGCGGCCTCACCAAAGCTGAATAAAGGGGAATGATGACATCTTTGGATCTGCTGGCAATGCTCCTCTTAATGCATCCTAATATGCCATTAGCCTTCTTGGCTACAAGGGCACACTGTTGACTCATATCTAGCTTCTCATCCACTGTAACCCCCAGGTCCTTTTCTGCAGAACTACTACTTAACCGGTTGGTCCCCAGCTTGTAACTATGCTTGGGATTCTTCCGTCCCAAGTGCAGGACTCTACACTTGTCCTTGTTGAACCTCTTCAGACTTCTTGTGGCCCAATCCTCCCATTTGTCTAAGTCATTCTGTACCCTATCTCTGCCCTTAAGTGTATCTACCTCTCCCCCCAGCTTAGTGTCATCCGCAAACTTGCTGAGGGTGCAATCCATCCCCTCATCCAGATCATTAATAAAGATATTGAACAAAACCGGTCCTAGAACCGAACCTTGGGGCACTCCGCTAGAAACCGACCGCCATCCTGACATCGAGCCATTGATCACTACCCGCTGGGCCTGGCCTTCTAGCCATCTTTCTATCCATCTTACCGTCCATTTATCCAATCCACAATCCCTTAACTTGCAGGCAAGAATATTGTGGGAGACTGTATCAAAAGCCTTGCTAAAGTCACGGTATATAACATCCACTGACTTCCCCATGTCCACCGAGCCAGTTACCTCATCCTAGAAGCTAATCAGATTGGTCAGGCACGACTTGCCCTTTGTGAATCCATGCTGACTATTCCTAATCACTTTCCTCTCATCCGGGAGGAAGACAAACATGGCACATGCTGTGCAGGTAACAACAGCAGACCCATCACAAACCATCGCTACTGTCCTGGAAAAGGGATTTTAAAAAGAAAGGCAAGAGAACCTGCCACCCTTCCCAACTCCCGGTTAGCACTCATCTGTTTGCAAGCTCCTTGGTTGCTTGCCCACTGTCTTATAAAGCCCCTCCCCCTACCAGGGCTCAGCCAATCTCAGCAGAGGTTTCTATAATTCAAACTTTAATTAGAACAGTTTGCGCGGGGGGGGGGGGGGGGGAGCCTCACTCTCAAACACAGGGGAAAATAAATAAATAAACAAGAAAGAACACACACACAACCCTCACTCACAAACACAAGCTCAGCACACAGCAAGAAAGCCCCAAAAACAACACCCACTTCCCCCAAGACTCCTGTATCTGCTTCTCCTCTACCTCGAGAACTCCCTCTCTAAAGCCTCATTCAAACGGAAAGATCTTTTAATCTTAATTTTAGCAGAGGAAAATATAATTGAAAAGTGCAAGCAGCCAACCTGCTGTGTAGGGGCAGAGACATTAACAAAAACTGTTTCCTTCTCAGCTGTTTTATGGAAAACAATGTTACCACTATCTAGATGGGTATAGAACTTACAGAAACCTAATAATCAGGTTGGAAATTGCCTTTTCTCCTTAGTGTTACTTTTATCTATTTTTATTACCTCAAAGGATAAATCATTGATGTGTATACTGCACGACTAGAGAAAATTCATCTGCATAGAACCCTGGGATAATGTTGAATATTCCATACTAGTGTACCTTGAAATGTAGTAAGCTATTAAATCAGTGAAAAGTGGAAAGAAATATCTAGTTCTATCATGCTGACAAAGTAATGTATTTTCTTCAATGCCTATTTTTCTGATAATATATTAGAAATAGTTCTGCTCTCTTCCTGTCTGACAAGTGATAAATTACTTGAGTACATATTTGATACAGAAAATAGCAAATGTGGAAAGTCATTTCTCATATGAAAGTAATCAGTTATTTTTTTTTTAAAAGGCCTGGCCAGTCCTCTGACCTTCGCCATGCCCTAATTTTTCTGTTACATATTTGATGACTGCTTTTTACAGCGGCTGGAGAGCTAAATGGAGGAGGCACCGGATGTGTGCACAGGTTGAAAATTGGTCAATGGGATCAAGCAGTTCGGGGTAGGGTTAAACGGGCTGAAGAGCATAATCGGCGACGGGGGAGAAGCAGGAGCTAAGCTTTACACATACCAGGGTAGGAGAACTGCTACATCAGGTAACGGTGTCTTATACTCCATAAGCCCGTGCCTGTGGCAGGGCTGCTGTAGCCCGACCCCCGTGGCTTCCTGTCCACTCACCATTTGCTACATCAGGTAACAGCGTCTTATACCCCATAGCATCGGTCACTGCTCCTCGTGCCACATCCCTACTGAAAACACGTTCTACGCTGCGACAGCGGGGAGTGGCCTCCAGCTAAGGTCGAGGCCAGACTAAGCCGCCGCCACCACCAAGCGGAGCAACAGCACTTACAGCATCTTGCTTCGCTTGTTCGGTTTGCGCGTGCGCAGCACTCTGCCTGACCCCGGAAGCCGAATGGTTTTCAGGCAGGTCTCGCGGGGCACAGGCAAGGCCGGAAGTGCAGCTCGGAGCCGCCCACAGTTTGGTCTGGGATGCTGCGGGGGGGGGATGCCGCCAGTGCCTGCGTGCGGAGCGGGGCCATGCCACGGAGGGTCAGTCAGCAGGGGCGGCCCGGCCCGGGGCTTCCGCCGGGGACCTTCGTATTCGCTCAGTCTGCTACTCGGAGACCTGGCCGGGCGGCCTGGCTTCCTGTCTCGTAGGGCTGCCAGCTGTCTAATGGCGCCCCGACCCGTCCTTTCTCTTCAGGCCCCGCCTCACTCTCGCTGGGCAGGGCAGGGGGTGGCGTGGGGGAGGGGCTGCAGACGGGGAGAATGGGGACGTGAAGCTTGAGGTACAGGGGGCCTCGGGGCTGGGCTGCATGAGGGGGTGCAGCGTGAGGGTTCCAGAAGGGAGGTTGGGGGAGGGGTGGCATTAGGGATGCCTTCGGGCCGGGTAGAGGGTTGGCATTAGGGATGTTAATGGTGAAACGGTTACCTAGTAAGCATCACCCTTAACAGATGATGCTTGCCAGCTAACGGTTGTTAACCGGTGCCCAGGAGCAGCCAGGCTGGAACAGCCCCTGCTTGTGGCAGGGCTTCTGTATCCCGACCCATCCACTCACAAATTAATTGGTTAAATGCAGTGTTGTTGCTCTGTTTAAACATTTAACTAATTAAATAGGATTTTACATCCCTAGTTGGCATGTGTGCTTTGGGAAGGAGTTATGGTGCAGGAGAAGGTTACATGCTGGTGCAAAGGTTGTGGCAGGGGGATTTGGACACAGATTCCAACTGGGTGGCAGTTAACCTCAGTAGCTCTAACTCAGTGGTTCAGTGGGGCTAAGGTAGGCTCCTGGTTCCATGCAGCTCCAGGAAGTGGGTGGCATATCTGGCTTCTAGGTGGAAGGTCAAAGGGGTCTGTGCACTTCAGGACCTCCACAGCTCTCATTGGCCTAAGGCACCTGGGATATGCCAGTGACTCCTGGGAGCTGTTTGGAGCTAGGACAAATAGGAGCCTGCCTTAGACCTGCTGTACTGCCAACTAAACTTTTAAGGGTTCTATCTAGAGCTGCCAGGATCCCTTTCTGACCCAGTGTTCCAATAAAAAAACGGACACCTGGCAACTCCAGCCAGGTGACATGGCTAGCTGTTTCCCTACTGGTAGTGGGGTTGATTACACAGCATCTGGAAGGAAGCCTCTTGGAAAACAAAAGCATATTAACAATTAAAAGCGTAATTGTTGTTTGGGAGCCAAGGGAAGACTCTGAAGCAGGAGTAGTGGCTGAAACTAATTTTAATCTCTGCATTGGTTGGCTGGATTTCAAATGTACAGTCTTGCTTTAACAGCTGCTGGTGTGTTTGTTTGTTTGATCAGGGAAAAGAAAAGTGTAAAGACTCAGTAAAACCGACTGTTCCTTCAGGTCCAGTTGTAACCGACAAAAGTGGTTCCATCACTATTGCTATTCATGCCAAACCTGGATCCAAACAAAATGCTATAACAGGTATACCCCCCCATGAAAATTGTAATTATGAGGGAAATAGTTCACTTAATTAAACAAATAAAGTTATTTAGGAAGGCAAGATTTTCCTCTTCTCCCTACACCCATTTCTTTGTACAAATTATTGTTCCTCTAAAGGTCTAAGTGATTGTGTAATGTGGCTTCATGACCAGTAAATTAATTGATTGATGTTTCTTGCACTCCATTTGACTAGGTGTAGTGGATTGCATTGACAAAACTGGAAAGATGTGTTGGAGTAAATTAATCTTTTTAAAAGCACAAAGAGTAATTCCTGGTAATCACTTGATTTTAATTATATTCCAATATAACTCCTTAAACTGCATTATTGGAATATTTCACCTATCTTCAGAGGAGGGCAAAGGAAGAAAAAGACTAGTTATATTGGTAGGAATTAGAGGTTTTTTTGTTTTTGTTTTTTTTAAAGCTGATGTGTGTAAGCAAGTGTGTTAAATGAATAATGAAAATAAATTATATATAAAAATGTATAAAATAGACTAGTGCCATCTTATGAGCACTACAGGCATTTCTGGAACAACAAAGGAACATTTCTCTTCTTCTTTTTCTCTTCCGT